GTGTATTGTGGTTTACAAATACGCTGCTATATCTGCGCCTTTCGTGCTAGGTTGCGATATCTGCGCCTTTCGCCCCAACACATCTGATTTCAGCAGTCCTAATTAGTTGCCTTTTACAACATTCTCTTCAGCCGCACTTGTGATTACGAGTATGTTGTAACATCACTAGACATCACTAGGTAGATTACGTGTATCACATTAATGTGCGAAATTCGCTTGCTTAGACAACTGGACCCGCTATCCTGTTTAAACTCTGGACATCAAAGTTGTCGACTGGTCTGAGAATGCCCGTTACGTCTCAACTCTAACCCTCGGTAATTAGCCACCTGCCCGTCCGCAAGTTCGGGTCTTTTGTCCGTTCGACTGGAAGATTGCATAATTTTTCAACGTAGATGCGTTCCCTGGTCCAGCTGTTAAGCTAACGTTAAATTCCACCGAGATAAATTGTTGGTTGGTCAGACACTTTGATCGCCGCTAGGAAGATCGCTTGGGTTTGCTGTTCAGTCACCTCATTGTTTCACTTTGTAAAGGTTTCTGTTGGACTTGTGTACTTTTGTTGTTGTTGCGTTTAGAAGGAATTCTGGACTCACCGAATGCACCTCGTCACAGCTCTTTGCGAATTTGTGCACTTGCGTAGATAATTAATTGCTTATCGGCAAAAGTTGCGAATAAAGTGGAAATATTTCTTTGATAATTTGTGCAGCTACTTTTAATTATGGCAGGCAGACCATCGGCTCCAAAACAGATAAGCAATAATATTCTACAAGTTGATCAACTGGCAGCTGTAGATGTCAGACCTGATGATTTATATAGAATAATGGACGATAAACTACAGTGGTTGCAATGGCTCGCTATGCACAGAATAATACGGAACTCAGTAGACTGTTCGTCTTGCAACCGTCGGATGTCATTAGTGTCAAGGCTAGAATGTTCCGATAGATTCTCTTGGCGATGTCGTCGCTGTAATACTCGTTGCAGTGTACGGACGGGTTCGTTCTTCGCTAATTGTGAACTCCCAACTGAAAGAATTGTGATGGTAATGTTTTACTCGTTGTTCGAAGTCAAGCAAAAAAATGTGATGTTTTTTGAGAGATTGACAAGCTGTGATACAGTAGTCAACTATAACAATTATTTTCGGGTAGTGTGTTACAACTGGCTGCTGCTTAGCAACCCTCAGTTGGGAGAATTTGATGCTAACGGACAGTCAGTGGTTGTTGAAGTTGACGAAAGCTATTTTTTCCACCGCAAGTACCATCGTGGTTACTTTCATCGTGGTCAATGGGTAGTTGGGCTAGTTGAACGTGGTAGTGGCCGTTGCTGGTTGGAAGTTGTTAATAGGCGAGATGCGACAACATTGGAACGCATCATAAGTGAGCATGTGTTACCAGGAACGACGATTGTCACCGATGCCTGGCGAGGCTACAACAACGTTGGTCAACTCAACAATGGCATATATGAACATCTCGTTGTTGTTCCTGCTATTAATTTTGTTGACCGTGTACACGGAGACATCCACACCCAAACAATTGAAGGGCTGTGGATGCAAGTCAAAAGGAAACAGCGTTTCCAAGGCGGCACTAGTCGTGCATTGTTTAATACATATTTAGCCGAATTTCAGTGGCGCCACAGTCACAAAGAACATGTTTTTGGACAGTATTTACAGCTGTTGTGCCACAATTTCGACATATAACTGTCAAATATTATTGGCAGAGTTGCCACTTTTCTTTGACGGAAAGTGTATTGCATTTTGTTTTCTGCATTTCCTTCTTTTCGTCTGTCATTTCATTTTCTCAGTGACCACACTAGCAGGTGGTACACACTTCATTGATACTGAACATCCTCTTGTGTTTAGATAAGTTGTAGCCAAGTATATCTTCTCTGCTATGTCGTTTCTACTACACATCTTGGTATTTTAAAAATCCATCAAAGTAGATATGATATTGTTGCAGGCATAACGCAGCGCTCTCTTTAATATACATCAAATGCATTAGATATTTAGATAAACAGGCCGACAGTTTTTATTCCTTCTGAAATCCTGATTTGGCTTCTTGTAATTTAATAATCTGATTGAATTTGCTTTGTGTATTATATATATATATATATATATATATATATATATATATATATATATATATATATATATATATATATATATATATATATATATATATATATATATTGTGTGTATCTTATGTATCTTTTTTTTTAAAAAATTCCACTGTGTGGAGGGAGAAAAGGAGCGGGGGTGGGGGGTTAGGGGTAGGGGGTAGGGGTAGGGGTAGGATTAGATGTTAAAATTTTGACGTAGGGTTTCGAAATAGTGGCCGACAATCTGATGTTTGTGGGCGTGGCGCCACTGAAATTCTGCTAAATATGACGCCAATAGTGTGCGGCTGATGCCCAATCGTTGGCGAATGGTGCGTTTCACCAGCATCCAGAGGCCCTCAATTGTTTGTGTGTGTATGTGACTGTGTACGGCATCGACGAAGTTGGTCTGGTGGACTACTACCTCGTGCAGATAGATGCCATGCCGTAAGTTTGCCACGTTGCTGTAGCCTCGCCAAGCGTCAGTCACGATGGTCGTTCCCGTATCGTATCGTAATCTTTTATAATCCTCTCCAATGTCGCCGCATCTCGTTTTCGCACAAGCTCCAAGTAGCAACGGCCAGTCTCACGCTCTACTAGCCCGACGATCCAACGACCGTGACGGATGCGACCGCGCTGATACTTTCGTCGGAAGAAGTAGCTCTCGTCTACTTCGACCACGATAGATCTGCCGGTCTCATCGAGTCCTCCCAGCTCAACGGTGTGTCTCAACATCCAATTATAGCATTCCTGACGGAAATAATTGTTGTAGTTGACAATGGTGTGCCAGTTCGTGAGTCTCTCGAGGACCATGACAGTCGCTGAACTTACACCGGAGAGCCAGTAGTACATCATCATGAGTATTTTCTCGGTCGACATGTCGCTGTTGGCGAAAAACGACCCAGTGCGAACACTACACCTAGTATTACAGCGATAACATCGCCAACCGTATCTGTCGCTACAGTCTTGCCGGGGACATAGGAACATTGGCCGCGTGCATGAGGTACACGGTTGCGTGTTCCTTATCAGACTATGCTCAGTTAGCCACCGCAACCACGCATACTTATGTCATTATGGCATACAGGAGTTACGTCCGTGGCAACTAAGTCGTGCGTCGGAATAACGATGTTAGTTATGTGAGTGCGTCTAACTGCCATGTTGCTTCTTGTGTCGTTTGTTTCGTTGTGGCTTTTCCGATCACTGTTTGGAGGGCGGCCACGCTAGAGAACTCTCAGTCGTCCAAGGCTGTTTATTCTTCGTCCGGATTTGCCAGTAGAGCCGAAGTGAAGACTGATGATGATGATCTTAACGTTGCTACCCAGCCACACGGCGCTCCGATGGATCGAAAATTATTCCTCCCCACGTCACTTCAGCGCTCCGATGGATCAAAAATTATTCCTCCCCACGTCACTTCAGTCGATCGAAAACTATTTCTTTCCGATGGATCGAAAATTATTCCTCCCCACGTCACTTCAGTCGATCGAAAACTATTTCTCCCCACGGTGCTAAACTTCCAACATTGCGCAGAAGTGAAAAACTGATGATGATGGCTTCAATTATTATTTCACGGCGCTTAACGGCAGAAGTAAAAGACTGATGATGATGATCTTAACGTTGCTACCCATCGACACAGCGCTCCGATGGATCGAAAATTTTTCCTCCCCACGTCACTTCAGTGCAGCGAAAACTATTTCTTAACGGCAGAAGTGAAGACTGATGATGATGATCTTAACGTTGCTACCCATCGACACAGCGCTCCGATGGATCGAAAATTTTTCCTCCCCACGTCACTTCAGTGCAGCGAAAACTATTTCTTAACGGCAGAAGTGAAGACTGATGATGATGATCTTAACGTTGCTACCCATCGACACAGCGCTCCGATGGATCGAAAATTTTTCCTCCCCACGTCACTTCAGTGCAGCGAAAACTATTTCTTAACGGCAGAAGTGAAGACTGATGATGATGATCTTAACGTTGCTACCCATCGACACAGCGCTCCGATGGATCGAAAATTTTTCCTCCCCACGTCACTTCAGTACAGCGAAAATTATTTCTTAACGGCAGAAGTGAAGACTGATGATGATGATCTTAACGTTGCTACCCATCGACACAGCGCTCCGATGGATCGAAAAATTTTCCTCCCCACGTCACTTCAGTGCAGCGAAAACTATTTCTTAACGGCAGAAGTGAAGACTGATGATGATGATCTTAACGTTGCTACCCATCGACACAGCGCTCCGATGGATCGAAAATTTTTCCTCCCCACGTCACTTCACAGCGCTACTTCACAGCGCTTAACGCGCAGATGTGGAAACTGATGATGATGGCCTCAATTATTTCACGGCATTATTGGTACGTATTGTTCCATATTTTGTTGTTCCATATTTTGTATAACACGTCACTTCAGCGCTCCGATGGATCGCTCCGATGGATCGAAAATTATTCCTCCCCACGTCACTTCAGTGGATCGAAAACTATTTCTCACAACGCTTAACGCGCAGATGTGGAAACTGATGATGATCTACGTATTGTACCATTTTTTTTGTACCATATTTTGTATAACTCCTTTATAACCCCTTGACCTCTTTGTAACCTCTTGAACCCTTTGAGGCTCTAACAGGAATGTTTTGGACAGCAAATAATATGGGGCCGGTATTCGGGAGAGTGTCACTCCCGGGGGTGGGCAGAAAAGCCACATTTCTCCCAGATTTACGGTATTTAAAATGGAATCAAGGCCGAAAGGTTGCGATATCCATAATACCGAGCCTAAGGGTTAACAACTCATGGCTTCTGGATACTAAAACAAACAAACGAATAATAAATACATATTTGTTTCTTACTGTGCCTAGGTTGTTTTTTATGCTGCTCCGAGCGTCAAAATGGCTACCTGGTGAATCCCAGCAACAAGACAAAACATGACATTTCAGTCTCAGAAATTTAACCGGTAGTTGAAAATCCTTTATTGCTAAGTATTAATATCTTAAATTACGTTATATGACTCATTGAATGCAGGTATCTGTTTATATAAAAAAAAAGTAGGTGATGGTAAGCTTTATGACACTTTTTGGACTTCCATTTGTCTTTGACTCTGAGATTTCTGATTTATTTTAATTTCTGGATTTCACAAAACTAAAACCGCGAGAACGACCGTTTGCTGTGTCAAAACTTGCCTTAAAAAACATTATGGTTTCTTTTTCATCTTAGCGTTCACCGGTTGCATACTTGTGCGTATATTCTAGTTGTTTGTCCAGTCCTGGACTTTTATCTCGACGCAGTTTATCCATAACTTTGCGCGCACATCCATTTTACAAACCTGCCTTATTTAATCATTTAAATTAATGTATGCATATGCAGCCTGTTGGTTCTTTGCCTCTCAGGCAGATGCACTCGACTTTTGAAAGAAACGTCCCTAATTATTCGCTTTTTTCAAAAATGGCCTTGGCTCCCAGGTCGACCCAGCCTTGCTTGAGTGGGTACCGGCTGCAGTCCTGGGAAGTAGAGGCGGCCGGCGTGATACTGACCACATCACCCATCTTGTGCCGTTGCACTATAAAAAATATAGGTCTAGCCCTATATGCCTAAAGGCGTGGAAAAGGTCCTTTACTTACTTTACTTTTATGTCATACTTGTGGGGGGGGGGGGGGTTGGGTGGGTCTGTTCCCTAAAATGGAGTCCCAGAACCCACATCGGATAATTTCTGGTTTGATTTGTGAAATATTCACTGCTGCAATACTATTTTTCGTCCCCAAAGCTTTCAGTTGTCAACAAGCTGTTTCAATCATGTTTGATCCCTTTAACCTTTGATTGAAGCTTATAAAATTTAAAAGTAAAAAGAGTAGAATCGCTGGATAACGTTAACATCAACAATGTAAGTCATGCAGGGATTATAAATCAGCGAAACGCGCTTGTGAAACATTAACTAAATATGGGATGGAAATAAATGCAGATAAGATAAAAGAAATGACTAATAATCCAGCTGGTAAAACTACACCAATGTACCTTAACTTTTTCACTTTCACTCCCGCGGGTTTAGCATCAGAGGTCCAAGGGGTAGTAAAGAGAAACATAAAATCAGCACATCTTGCTTTCATTGAGCTTCTAGATAGAAACTTATAAATGTGTGATGCATTCCTTGGGACTGAAAGAGTTGCAGGTCACTAATAAGGAAAAAAGTCAGTCATTTCAAATGGTTAGGATCCATTTTAAGTGACCCAGGGTGACCATAAATCATATCAAGGATTGTCCAGAAAATATCAGTCCTTGCCAGTTAGTAAAATTATAGAGATCCAAAAACATTTCATGTAAAAATAAGCTACAACTGCTCAGAGCACTATCTTTTAGTACATTTACATATGGCTGTGAAAGGCCTTAACAGCTGAACTTGAAAAGAAGATACAAGCATTAGAAGGAAGGAATGAAGTCTAAATTTCTCCATCAGAGCTGTCAGTGACCAAACCCACCCAGAATACCAGCCATTCCTTAAAGAGACAAACAGAAGTATCCAGTCTGAGGCAAAACAAATATATTCCCACGAGTGTTATATGAATAGCAGATCTGAGTAATTTTACATCCCTGAATAACATATTTAGTAATTATAAAATTATTACACCTAAGCTCCCTGCAGAGTAACTTCAACCTCCTGGAGACTGATGACAAACTTGCTAGTGTTATCTATAAACAATCATGCCCTGACTTGATAAAGCAAGTGGCTTTGGAATACATACAGCATCTAATCATGGATATTCCTTATTTATGCAGATGGGTCCAAAGAAAAAGACAACAAGTTAGAATAGGATTATACATTCCACAATGGAAATTAAAGAAAATATACAACATACATGATAATTTACCGATTTTCACTGCAGAAATTATTGCTATGGTACATGTCAGTTTGTCCCCCCCCCCCCCCCCCCCCCACCACCAAAAAAAAACCTTACAGTTTTAACAGACTCATTGTCAACTATCCAAGCTTTGAAAAAAAACTCAAAAATATATAGCTGACCTGACTTAATAGAATTTATCTGGTTACTCCATCTTTAAACACAAGAGGATGCTGTTTGTATAGATACCTGCACATGGGGAATACATGGTAATGAAACTGCAGATAAGGAAGGAAAAAAGGTAGATCCAATAAAAACTCTGTTCAGGTTACTATGAGCACAGAGGACATTAAATCACTGATTGAAAAATTTATATAAGAGGAATGGTCCTTAAATTGGGACCAAAGTCTGAATGGTAGCCATTCATATAAATGATTAAATGCTCCTCAAAGACAAAGTCAGATAACAGATGAACTTAAAATACTGTGCTATTGAAAATTGTTTAGACTACAACTTGGATGGAGTTGCTTTACCACACATGACAAAACATGTGATCTATGCCAGAAGTACAGTAATATAGAGTACTGTTTGCTGCAGTGTAAAAAAATATAAAAGCCAAAGAAAACCACCAACAGACTATATGCATCTCTACAAATTACCTGGGACGATGGAAACCTTGTTACACATAGATTGCCCCAGAGACCTGTGTGGCAAGGTCAAGCAGTTCCTTACTAGAACTAAAATCCAAATATAGAAGGATAAAATATGCCCTTGCCATCCCTGAAGAAATTGATCCCAAAGATAAAATTGGTGAAGGCAGTCAACTATTGTACAAAGGGCGGAATAAATCGGTAAAAATTTTAAATTTTTTATAGTACAATTTAAAAATAAATCATTTTCAACGACACAATGTTAATAAGATTATCTAAGTATATGTAATGCAATTTATTTCATAATTACAACCCAAATAAAATAATATTTGAAACTACAATTTACATGTTTATCTTAATGAACACTATAGATCCAAATTATAACCCTAATGGTTAAACAGGATATTTATGACAAATTACTACTACTGATGCAGTCATTGGATGTGAGATCATTCTGAAAAATTATTGGCATATCATACAGAGACCACCACATCACAAAGGATGCGGTTCACTGTGTAATTACCCAGCCTATTATAACAACTGTAAACCTCTTTTAACTACAGTGAACAAAAAATGGAAAATACAAGGATACAGACATGTTATAAGATGTAATGGTCTCTCAAAAACAATACTACAGTGCTTAATAGAGGGGAAGCAAGAGGAGATAAAGATAAACATGGATACAGATCTTCACTCTGGACAGGCCTTAGGCATGCAACCATTAAGTCTTTTGCATCTGATCGTCAAAGGTGGAAGGAGCTGATCAGACAGTTAACAGCCAATTACATGCATATTACGGTATGATGGTGATAGTGATGGAATAGTACACAATACCGGCTAAGTGGTTAAGCCATTTACCTTGCGCTTGAGTTTGCTTCACTGACTGCATCATTTGGGTTTACAAGTGCAATTTTTACTGAGATCCCAGAGGATTGTTGCCTGAACTATGGAATTTGTTCTTTGTTTGACGCTTTTTTTTTTAGGTAGCCACCCATTCAGAAGAGAAAGACAACCATGTAAAAGAAAATTAGAAGAAGAATTTTTTTTTTCTTCACTTCCTCTTTTACCACTTTAGATATCAGGGGGAGATATAATGTTCTGCTTCTTGTTCTTCTGGTGGCCTCCGCCATGGACACATTATTCTTTAGAGTTTTTCAGATGTGATCTTTCCAACTTGTTCTTTGTCTACCTTGTGCTTTGCATCATTCTCTTGTTATGTAGTATGGTATGGCGGTACAAGCCATTCTCTCTAAGTATGCAAACCTTTGATTTATTATCTTTTTATGTAATTTAAAATTGCTTCTGTTCTGACTTTTTACTCTTCCTGATTTCAACTCTTCTGGTCACTCAGCAGCCCTTCTCAGACATCCCATTTTCATGTTTACTGATTTTCTTTTCTGGTTTGTTGTCTTATTATGTCTTTGCATTAACCATATGTAAACTCTGGTGGAAAGTTCAGGTTGTTCGTCCACTTCTGGACTGCAGTCCTGTTCCAGAACCTGAGTGTTGTAATCCGTTTGACAGATCTGACACATTTGTGTCCAGACTGTTGGTTCCTTGCTTTTCAGGCTGATGCACTCCAACTTCGAAGGAAGCTCCCAATTAGTTGACTCTTACAACATGCTTTTGAGTAGGCGGTGGGTCTATTCTTGTTTTCCCTATAATAGGGCCCCGGAACCCACACGGGGGTGGTTTGTTGTGGGTGAACACATCTGACACTGGTAGGTAGGTGTACCCCACCAGGACATAACACAAGTGATAAACACTCGGTGACACAAAGTGCCACCATGTGGATGAGGATCACCCGTGGAGAGGTTCCAGAAACCCCTTTTAGCCGTAAGGCTATATCTAGTCCATATCTATGCCCTGGCTATATTCAGGGCTCCAGCAAGAGCCAGGGTAAGGCTTTAAAAAAAAAATTTGCATCCCACATGGGGACGACCTGACACTGGTAGCATAGGGTGGGAATGAATATGCTTTGTATGAGATGTTTCTTTGTGCTGATCGGGATTGTCTTATTTCTGTCCCAGTACTTCTAGAACACCTTTACAAAAGTACTTTCTGCAATGTTTTCAGGAGCAAAGATCCTTTCTCTGTGCAGCCATTACCAAAGTCATTTTATCACCCAAGTCCAACCAAAGAAGTAAACGAAAGAGAGGTATGTCGAAGGCATCAGTTTCAAACATTTATGTCATCAATATTTTGGCTGAACTAATGATTCATTTAATTTATTGTTAGTCTATGTAAATATGTTTAGTAAATAAATGTGTGATTAATTAAACCAGTGATTTTAATAGCACAGTTCACCTGATGGTTCACAATGCATTTAAATTTGTTGTCCCTCTCTCTTTCTGAATCTGTTTCTCTCTCTCTCTCTCTCTCTCTTTCTGAATCTGTTTCTCTCTCTCTCTCTCTCTCTCTCTCCCCCTCTCTCTCTCTCTCTCTCTCTCTCTCTCTCTCTCTCTTTCGCTCCCCCCCCCCCCCCATCCATCTTTCTTTCTTACTCTCACAATCACACACTCATTTGCTTACGTTTCTTCATGTTTGTTCCCATTTTGGGACCGTGCTGAAGATTTGAAACACAGGGACTCACAGAGTAGAAATTATGGTTAATAAGAATGATATAATTAAAAGGTGGACTATGGTGCAGGGATTTCAGTAACAGGCATGCCGTTGGTTGCTGTTGACTGTCGGATCAGCTCCCTCCGCCTCTGTCATTAAGATGCAACAGACTTATTGTTTGCATATTTAGGCCTGTCCATCTGCCAAGTTCTGTATTCAGTTCTTTCTTTCCCCCCTTTCCTTTTTTCCCTTTTATTTTTAATACTGAGCCCTGTAGTTTCATTTTATTACCAAACCACTGCATTTACTGTTTTTTAATTGTTGTTAAAAGAATTTCACACTTGCCATTACGCTGAATGATAAAATGATGACCATCATTTGTGATGTGGTCTCTATGAATCTTTTGAAAATATATGCCCGTAACATTAATTGTTTAATTATGTATAATTTTTGTTTTGCATCTCTGATTAAATCTGGCTCTTTAGGTCATCAGAAGCCCACAGAGACACAGTACGCCAACTACAAAATGTGCCGAAGTGGAAGAGTTCCTCAGACAAAACCCCACCTTCCACACTTCTGCCCTACCAAAAGTTAGGACATTGCATGACCTTGAAAAACCAGGACCAAGTCTACTAAAACAAAAGGATGTAACTGACAGCAGCGAGTTGGATGAAATCTGGCTAGATACTGAGAGGCTAAATTCTTTCAGGTAGTGTGAAAAAAAGTATAGGATTCTTTTCTCTGGTGAATTTGCTTAAGTAGTTCACTTAGTTAACATGAACAACGTTTTAGTCCTTGCAAGAATGTAGTAATATGAGTCCCATTTAGCACACATTTTTAAAACACTAACCTGGTTTTTTGATTCCTAGGAATTTGTGTTAGTGAGGTTTTATAATGAACTAACTTCATAACATGCTGTAAATTGCAGCATATAGGCAGAGCTTTCAAGGGTTAACAAACTAAATAATACAGAAACAAACAAATTCATTGCACAGTTTTTTTGTGAGCCATATTTTTCTCTATCCCAAGCGTCACTGCAGAGTTACATCAACACACAATGAGGCACAAAAACTGAATATATTCAACTGAAACCCAGATGGTCGTTACTCACAGTAGACTGTCTAATCGCTGGAAGTTCATCATCATATATGACTGTCACATTTGAAGAAAAAAATAGTGAAAAACATATCAGACCCAGGACAATTTTCAAGCTTGCACATACAGAATAAATATATAAGGCAGCTGTGAGAAATACCAGTGCTAACAGTTTCTCACCAGATTTGCAGTTCACTGTTGATGCAGACAGTCAGTCATGAAAGCTGGCATTTTCACACACAGTGCTGCATTAAGCTACTGCCATTCCAGATGTAATCAGCCGTCTTCTATTTTTAGTGGGGCTCACAAGAGAGGATGTTAGATTTTTTTCTAAATTTGTTTTCTCCTTCCTCCATGTTAATTTTCCTAGTCATGTTTAAACAAATTTGTGTTTTGATACTAGCTCGACCGAAGTCACCCCTGTTTACATCACTAAATGTAATTAATTTCTGACAGCACCACTTCAGTCCCAGAAGAAACCGAACCAGAAAGTCCATATGTAAATGATGATGGGGTGAAAGGTCTTGGGAAGCTCAAATATCAGAGTGGCTGCGTGGATGGGATGGACAGTAAAATCTCTGACAAAACATCTGATGTGGACAGAGAAGAATCAGTGCTTCAGAGGTTTGTTTTCAACAGAAGTTTGAATTTGTAGTTAATAGATTGATTGGTTGACAGGAATAAGTTTCACTTTGTGTCAGCCCATTCTGGGATAAGAAAGATTGAATGAGCATACTGGCTTGCTGGCAGGACCTTGATAGGCACAGGAAAAGCAATGGACCAGTCTGATGATTCCAGTGCTCTTAGGAAGGTAGGATGAGTAGATAATTCATGAGATGACAGTGAATTGACAAACTTAACTTCATGTCAAAATAGGGGTGCTTTATTAATATCCTACCCCAAACAGGGGAAATCCACAGGTCATGGGACAGTCTAATATTTCAGGGGGTGGTAAATAGGCTGCATGCAGTCGTTGGACCTAGGCTGCACTCTCTCGTGGGATGTAGGTGGGTTGTGGTTCGGGCCAGTTCTAGATGTTTTGGGGTCGTTAAAACATCAGAAAGCCAGGAAACCCAGTCCTACCACCCTCTAAAATGTTGCACTGTCCTGTGATGTCATCTGGGGTAGGATATTATTGAAGTACCAAAATAGGTATTATCAGACATGAACACTATACAGGGAGCTAAAGAATAATAAATAGTAAACCAAGATAGAACTGGTGTATTTAGTCACCACACACTGAGAGAGATACAAACAGTTGGACCCAATGCTTATGGACTTGTCCAGTGTATGATAACGATGATCGGTCAATGAACTAATGAACTAGGATGCTTGGTTTGTTGTGAATTAGGTTGGATGTTGTTTTGTAAATTCTTTAGAAGATTGAGCTTTAACTCTTAGATTCAATGCTTTGATGTTAACTCTTTGAGTCACAGGAGGTTTAGCATCACAGGCCCAGGGGGTAGTAAAAAAAAAGTCATAAAATTGGTGCATCATATGTTCATTGGGCTTCTGGGTAGGAAGCTATGAACGTATGATGCGTTCCTTGGGACTCAAAGAGTTAAGGTAATATAAGTTACACTGATGTATGGTTGTTTGAAAGTAGGTTGACTGTGTAGCTTGATAATAGAAAGTTAGAAACTATTGGCAGGCGTATAAAGAGAAAAATGAAAACATATGCACACAGACAAACAGATAGATAGACAGACACATAGATAAACAGATGGACTGTAGGTGGATAGACATAAAACAATAGAACTGGAAAAATTGAGAGGTGGAGACAGAGAGAGAGAGAACTTGTTTTATAGCTTACTCAGAAGTTAGTTAGTTGGGTTATCATCATTGGACTCCGGGCATGTTCATAGGTGCTCAGATCCTCCCCTCAGTATGAACCTCAACATCCGATGGCTAATAGTACCAGTTCTATGTTGATTAACAAGTCTTCTGGTGTGCGTCTCGTTTTTTGCTATTTACTCAGAAGTACCATGTTTAAATCTGCCACAGGTATGTAGAGAGGTTCCGCAACTCTGCCCCCAAATCCAGGGAAGAACGAATGAAAGAGAAAAGTGATAAGCTTCACTTCTGGTGGCTGCAGTCCTCATCTGACAGGGGGAACAACTCAGTGGATGATGACAGCAAGGGAAATAACCTAAGACTACATCCACATTTAACTGAGGCCAGACCTCAGTCCCAGAAAGTATGATACAGAAAATACATTTCTGAATGTTTAATTATAATTTCACATCACAACACTCGGGATATTTCCATAAGCACTCTGTCCCCATATTCAGCAGTAAGCACAAAGCTCCGATTCTGATGTCACAATAACAGTCTATTATATATCCTCCGTCTTGCCTTTTCCCTGAGTGTTGAACATCAGCCAGATTACTGTTCTCATTCCAGCATGGGACATAGTTTTTAAAAAAATCTATTTTAACGCCCCACCTGTCTATTGTCGGCAACCCTAAAATAATCTAACGGTTGAATGGGGTTTCTGGGAATTTTGACCAGATTAGACAGTTTAGACAATAAATTACCTGTTGGTACCTTCGGTCTTTCCACTCTTTCCGTTGCCACCTGAAGATGGTATCAAGCACAGAGCACGCACTCCATAGAAAAAAATTCTTTCAGTGCAGGAAGTAAACGGTCACCCTAGTATTGCCTGCTGCTAGTTAAGAGGGAGGGGATGTCCTTAAGGAGTCCATATGCCTGGCGCCGCCCCACCCGCTTACCAGACTATATATCCCACAGTCATTCAGCCAATAGGCACGTAGGTCCACCACAGGCTTAGGTTATTTTTTTTATTAAATTAAAGTCGTTTCCTCTAGATCCTTTGTGTTTTGTGCCTCTTTGGTCCCACACAACAGTCTTGACTGTAGATAGACCTAACTGCCCCTTTCACCCTGTAGGTGCAAGTACTCATAGGACTAGACCAAGCTCTCAAGGGAGAACAGTTGGTGTGCTCCACTGTGCGAGAGATCGGACATCTACAGGCCTGGATCTTTCTGTCCCTTGCGTATTCGGGTGCAAAAGTTTCATAAGTGGCCAAATTACCATATACTTTGTCCATGTTGCTAAGGGCGCTAAGACAGATGATGTGTACCGGTTGCAGAAACATCAAACAATTAATAAATTCATAGCATGAATGCAAAGTAAAAGTACAGAAGCATGGTGGCAAATGCACACCTTCAAATATACATGCAAAAATACACACACATAGCAGAAAAACAAGAGAAGCAGTAGAACAGATACAGACATACATATATACAAACACACATACACGGAGGTGTACACACTGGCAGTTCACATACACACACACACCAACACACTTACATACATGGAGGTGCACCCACTGGCAGTACACACACATATAGAAAAACAAGTGAAGCAGTAGAACAGACACACATATACACCAACACACTTGCATACACGGAGGTTCACACACTGACAGTACACACACACACACACACACCAATTAACACAAAATACATGGGCATACACACAGTCACAGATACAACACATACACACAGACATAACACATACACACAGTATACACATGACCACTAGACCCCCCTGTGTGGGTTCCGGGGCCCCATTGTGGGGAAAACAAGAATAGACCCACTGCCTCCCCAAAAGCATGTTGTAAGAGTCAACTAATTGGGGAGCTTCCTTTAAAGACGGAGTGCGTCTGCCGGAGAGGCAAGGAACCAACAGTCTGTATTCAAGAGAATGAGATCTGTAAAACTGATGCACATGCAACACTCAGGTTCTGGAGCAGGACTGCAGTTCAGTAGTAGACGAGCAACCAGAACCTTCCGCCAGAGTTTACAGCTGGTGAACGCGAAGAAGAAGAAGAAGACCACTAGACTGGCAGGCAAATATGCCAGCAACTAGGCCACTAAAGTTCCTCCAAAAATTTAGTTTTTCCATTATTGATATTATTATTATTATATTAAATTCATTTATGTTTTGTCAACATTGCACTTGTTATCTGCATAAAAAAATTTACAATTTTTTTTAAAGACATTCAAAACAATTGTATTTGAAATTCTTGTTTTGAAACAGCTAACCAAGGATGCTCTGCTCGCTATGGATGAGGAAACATTTCACCTGCAAAGTAAAGCTGATCGACTTCTTTCGAAGAGGTAAAAGGACATTAATTTTTGCAAGATTTTATTGTTAAATAGAGAGGTTGACTAGTCTCTTGGTCTCTCTCTCTCTGTCTTTTTTTTGTGTGTGTGGACATTATCAGACTCCAATAAGATAATTGTGTTTTTCTGCTGGAGGGAGTGAATGGCCTTAATGTGGCTTTTATAATCTGTCAAGGAGCTTTAGATAGTTGAACAAGTAGCCTTCTGTGATCTAAAGTGGCTTTGTGCAGATAAGCTAAAGAGTGCTTTTTGTGGTTTATAAGATGGCTGCGTACAGTTGAAAATGTGGCTAATATTGTCATGAGTGGCTATAGATAGTTTAAAAAGAGGTGTTCATGATCTTTGTGGATTTGGATGTGTGAAACAATGGCCTTAGTGGGGTATAGAATGGATTTGAACAGAATCGATAGACTGACTTTCTGTAGATTGGTTTGAACAGCTGAAAAAGTAGTCTTTGTAGTTTGCTTAAGATAATTGAAAAAGTGGTCTTTATAGTCTCTGAAATAGCTGTGAATGTTACTTTTTTGTTTGAAATGATAAAGATAGCCATAATATCGACCAGTATGTTTTTACATCTGTACAAGTTAAAACACCTTTACAAGTTAACACACCTGTATGTTACCAGGGAACTCAAGGGAATAAAGAATAGTAAAACTGCACCCTGCCAGGCATGTCACAAGAGGTGATAAGGATTTGGGCTTGGCGTTGGCTAACTCATCCTGTAAAAACAATAGCTACAAAACCAACCATTCATGAAGATAGCACGCTTTGGCAGGTGGTGGTTGAGGACCTATGCTCCACTGGGGATAACAGGAAAAGAACTAGAAGAGAAGTTAATAAGTGTGGAACATAGTGGCGTATGGCCTGCCACAGCCATCCTGAGAGGAATTATTTATGGTGGCATAAGAAACCTGGCATAAGCTACAACTTTTTTTTTTCAAGACAGACGTGGTTTTTTTATGAGCACGTATAGAAATGACTTCAGGTCTGAATTTTGTTTCAGTGAGCTTAGTTTGACTTCATCAAGTCCAATTGTAAGTACAGAAGGCTTGGGTTCGTCCACTTCTGTTAGCAGCTGCAGTGTGTCTGACGGTCATCTACCTTACCAGCCTGCTTATTTTCGGGCACAAGGTTAGTTGGACTCTTTTTTTATTTGATTAACAGAAGGGATGAAGAGCTGCTGAACCACACATGTGGTGCACTAGAGCCACCACAAATACTGTCTACACATAGTCATGCTAGAACACAGGTTTCCAACCTGAAGCCTGGCCAGTATAGAAAGGATTGACGTTTCCTCAAAGTTGGAGTGCATCTGCCTGAGAGGCAAGGAACTAGCAGTCTGCACACAAATTAGCCAGATCTGTAAAATAGATATGCATTCAAAACTCAAAGTCCTGGAACAAGACAAAGGTTCAGACAGGGACAAACAACCAAAACTTTCTGTAGGATTTTACAGCTGGTGAATGCAGAAAAGAAGATAAATAAAAATCTTGACTGCGCTATCAGAGTAGACCAAGGAAAGTTTGTAAAAGTTTAAATTTGTTTATTAGTTTCACCTGAAGACTGACGACAAGCTAGTTTTTGTCAAAGCCCTTTGGGAGCAAGTGAACGATGCAGAAGCATGAATAGAGCTTTAAGGTGTGGAGAGAATGGTACAGTGGGGAGAGAATGGTACAGTGGGGAGGGAATGGTACAGTGGGGAGGGAATGGTACAGTGGGGAGGGAATGGTACAGTGGGGAGAGAATGGTACAGTGGGGAGGGAATGGTACAGTGGGGAGGGAATGGTGCAGTGGGGAGGGAATGGTGCAGTGGGGAGAGAATGGTACAGTGGGGAGAGAATGGTACAGTGGGGAGGGAATGGTACTGTGGGGGAGGGAATGGTGCAGTGGGGAGAGAATGGTACAGTGGGGGTTGACAAGGGGGTGATCTGGCTGACACACTACACTCAGAGGAAAGACAAAACAGACATATGATCAAACGCCTTCTACTACCATCGGAATTGGAACTCTTCGCTGGCTGCTAAAACTGGGGACTGAGCTTATAGAAATAGCCAGAGTACTGTGATGAGGATTCTTATTCTGAACTCAACTTAACAGCTCAGCTCAGTCAGTCTGCCAGAACTGCCAATTACTGCATTTATTATACCACTTTTGTGGTGTAGGCAGGGGGGTCTTTGAGCCTGAGGATTTATGGCCGCATGGTTAGTCCTGTGCAGGTGAGGATTTTATTTTACTCCCGACAGAAAAAAATCCCCAACCTTGCCAAGAATTTGAACCCGGGTCTCCGGCTAGAGAGCCTAGCATTCTGACCATTTGGCCAGCCGCTCCTCAGTCAGTCTGAAGATTGATATTGAAATTGTACAATCATTTCCATTCACTGTCCGCTAAACTCATCAGTCATGTTCAGCTGAGCATCAGTTTGAATCTCAACATCCTTTTCTTGTGTATTTTCCTAACCCTGCCCTCCTCCGCTTATTGGCAGGGCATATTATGATAATGATGAGGATGATGATGAATTTCACATTAAAAAAAATTTTTAAATAGAATTTCACATTAAATAGTATTTTGTCATTTCACAAACACACATGCACGCACTCAAAATCATATAAATTCATATTAAAAATTGAAACCTCAAATTTCAGGCTGGCAGACAAGGGTCTACATCAGCTCCCAACAAACAATAATATCTCACAATTTCACATACAATGAAATTGAAACCATTTTTAATTGAACAGAAAATTACAACAGGCCAACAGCAAGACTGTTCACCAACACAGAGGACAAGTCAAGGTCGTTGCACACAGCCTCCAGGTCACCAGCTGATGATATCCTGACACGGTGGAGGCTGCAGCGGAAGGTGGAGGAGGCCAGCGCTGCTGTGTCTGGTGGACAGTGTGGAAAGTTGACCAGTACCAAGCCTTCAAGGGTATGGCTGAGTGGTTTCATTGTGTGTCATCATCGTTATACTAAGATGCCTGGTCTAGAACAGACAACAATGATTCATGAGTATCTGTGATTTGATATTTTTATCTCACAGCATAGGGCAATCCCGCTCAGCATAAAGAAACGTCTCATTCAAAAAATGTTCACTCCCACTCCTTGCTACCAATGCCAGACATGGTCACTCTACAGCAAACTATAAAAGAAAGTTAATAAACGTGGAAATACAATGTCTGAGAAGGGTTGCAGAAGTGACCAAAAGAGATCAAATCAGAAGTGTGTCATAAGAGAAAAAGTCGGCACAGAACCAATTCTAAATTACACACAAAGAGAGCAGATAAAATGGTTTGCCCATTTTAAGATAATGGCTTGCGATTAATGACCAAACAAGGCATACTCCAAAAGAGGAGGGAATGAGGAGCAAGTGGTAGACCAAGAAGAAGATTGAAAGATAAAAGCAGAGCAACTTCACAGCAGTAAAGTGTGTCTTATATTGAGGTAGTCAGAACAGCAAGAAGCAGAATCTTGTATGTCCATTGACATCCGAAGCAGTAAAAGAGGAAGCGAGGAGAATTTTAAAAAAAAATGATTTTTGATTTTCATATATCACTGTTTCAACTTTCTCTTTTCTCCTGCCGCCCTCACTTAGTATTTTCATATACAAGGCCTCTAGTCCACCTTTTCAATTGAATGTTTGTATAATTCTACTAGAACACAGAGCTTGATGTACGACTGGAGGAGTTCAGAAGAAAAATACTCTCCCAGAAGGCATTAGTGACACAACAGGATATCCTTTTTGAGAGACAGAAGCTGTCTTTGTTGATGGATGATGTCAAGCAAAATGAGGGCACACCAAACCGAGTAAGAGATTGAATTACAAGGCTTCATATTCATTTTTTTTAAAAATTAAATTTTAAAATATCTATTTAAAAAAATCTCTCCGCTTGTGAGTTCTGGGGATCCCATTTTGGGGGAACAGAATAGATACACTGCCGCCTAAAAAGCTTGCCATAAAAGGTGACTAATTAGAGGTTTTTCCTTTAAAGTCAGAGTGCATCTGCTTGAGAGGTGAGGACCTGTGGTCGCTGTAAAAACAAGCCATTTCTGTAAAATGGATGTGCACACAAAACTCAAGTTCTGGAACAAGACCAAAGTCCAGAAGGGGGTGAACAACCAGAACTTTCCACTGGAGATTGATTTGATTTGATTTGATTCAAGAACTGACATCACCGTACTCGGGGCATTCCCATAAGCGCTCCGTCCCCATCTTCAGCAGCCAGCGAAGAGTTCCGATACTAATGGTTCCACTGGAGATTACAGCCAGGGAACACGAAGAAGAAGAAGAAATTTAAAAAAAAAATAGCATAATGAGATCAAGAGAAATGTTTGACAATAAAACAATGTACTTGTCTAATTATCTTTAATTTTTATGATAAAAACAAGCATGTAATACTGGGTCAGATACTACTATAGAGGCATGTCAGAGCTGACCAAGCAGCATATGGCTGCCTTGGATGGGCCCTCTAGGGACAACACTTGTAGATCAAGGAATGGTGAAGTCACCACAAATATGAGGCTTCAAGTTTTCAGCAAAACAAACTGGGAAGATTAATAAGGATAACAAATGCCTGAAGAAGTTGGGTATGGTGGCCAGAAGTCACAAATATCACGGCTGTGCTGTAAAAAGTGACAACACATTTATTTCATAATAATGATGAACAATAGAAAGAAGAGTCAAGTGATAAGAGAGTTTGTGTAACATTATTATGAGATTATGTAGATGGTTCCTCAGCTTACCATCTTTCAGTATTTGAAAAATGGTTAGTACTCATTTTGCAAATCAGGGTTAACCAGAGACTATTTGTCATGTTATTTAGTATGAACGTAGTATTGAAAAATTATTGTGATAGTTGTTCTGAAGGCGAATGCTGTCACCTGCCAGCTAGTCCTACTGCTTGATACTCAAATGTGGTGCGGTGATATCAATCACAGATGTGAGTAAAAGTTCAGGCTGTTGTGATGTGTATAAGGAGTTACCCCATACCCCAACTCAGCTGGCTCTTGGATGGTTTTATGGATCCTCACGCAAGACTGCTGTTGCACATCCATGTCATGTGCCTTGAATAAGGACTCACCTTTGTGACCTGAACCAAGTTGACAGGGGATCTTGGAGTTGGCCGCCTCTGAAGATTTAGCGTCCAGTCAATGCATGGGTGAAAACATCTCTCAAAGCTCATTTGGAACATGAATAAAGTTCACTAGTGGAACATACTACTGAATGACAACCCTCAGTGAAAACATCTGTCGAGTGTGAAGGACAACTGTACTACTGATATTCAGCCCTATTAGAAGAGATTTGCTCGCAGCCTAGATGAGCAGCATCTCTTGTGGGCGGTAACTCGCAGAGCAATCCCCTCCAGGCACATCCCTTGCTGTTTGTTCCTCAACATCGTCGCCACCGCATTGTCTGCTGCCAAATTACTTGCAGATGAATTGAACCTGTTATGTTGCAATTACAAAACTGTTCATAACCCCAAAGCCACAGCCATTGACTACAAAACTTTCGTTTATCCAAATTCTTAATTATTGTTCATAATAATGAATCTATATCTTTCATTAGTATAATCTATCTATATTGTTCATTATTGTTACATAACCATATTGATTTTACATACATTTTTACTCTTGGTAGCAAGAGGAAAGAAAAGAGGTAAAAACCTGGACGTCTTGGCCACATGGGTGGGTGAAACAAGTACATTGACCTGATCTGTGATTCTGATGATTGTGTGAGATGGCAAAACATGACAGTCTACGATTACCCGCATAGCACACAACGATAATGATAATGATGTTTGTTTGTTTATTTGTAGGGCACTCCGCAAGCAGACAATGGAGCTGACGGTGAAGAACCAGTGAGGGATGTAATTCTGGAGAAGCTACAGAGAATTACCCGTAGCCAAGACTACAGACCAGCTGAGACAGAGGCATCTTCCAGAAAAATCAATCAAATAATGACAGTCTCAACCTTTGCTGTTTCTACTAGAGATCGAGATTTCAGCATTAATAATGCTAACTTTGTTAATTCAAAATATGGCAGAAATGTTGAGCTTTCTGTAGCGGATCCAGCATTAAACAGAAATAATACAGCTTTGTTCAGTCAAAATGTTCGGCAGGATTGCAACGTGAATGATGACGGTCAGCCTGAGGTTGTTGTTGACAGTTTTGGGTCACAGGTAGTTTTTGATCCAAATGAAAAACACTTTTTGCTGGAAAATTCTGGGACTGAATCAAAGAAAAGCAGCATTCAGAGTTTGAATGCTGATGACACTAAAGAGCTAAAAAGTTATGAAAAGAAGGTTTATGCAGAAGAGTTTTGTCAGAAAGAGGCGATATTCACTGGTAATTTTCACAATGAAGAAAGGGCTACTAGAAATGTAAAGTATAATAAAGATACAAGAAGCAATCACACTGATTCTTCAGAAGCATGTCAACAGAGTTCAGGAGATGTGCAGGAACTTGGAAGAAACAATGTGTCGGGCGATGATAGAGGCCGTGTAGAAAAAGAACAGAAACAAGTTAACGAAAAAATGAGCGAGAATTTGTATCAGTATTTAGAGGCAGAGAAGCCAATATCAGAATCAAGGTTACATGTTCAAAAAGGTAATAAGACAGGTAAAGTGATAATGAGTGATGATTCACCCCTCCATGCAGAGGAAGAACAACAACAAAATTCAACATTACAGAAAATGGCAAATAGTATCAAACAGACTGATCAGAGGGAAGAAGTTTTTGAAGGAAGAGAATGTGCTAGAGAGCAGAAGAAAAGAAAAGGAAGACATAAGCATCAGGTCAAGAAAGGAAGGGATAAAGATAATGGAGATGTGAATGAAAGGGATGTATTAGTAGATATTACAAATGAAAGAAATGAGGGATCCTCTGATATTTTCACTGTCAAAGGGCACCCAGGAAATTTGATATCCTATGAGAATAAAGAAGGAAACGATTCCTTCGGGAGACTTGACAAAAAGTCAAGACCTGTTATGAACTCGACAGCTTCGCCCAGGAGATACTGTGTCAGCCAGAGACCTTCACCGCTAGCTCATCAGCCAGTTCAGCATGCTATAGGCCAGGTAAGTGTTGCTGTTGTGATTAGTCAAACATGATATTTTCTGTGTGTGGTTTTTAGCAGTTTGTTATGTGTAGGAACCTTTGCAAATCTTCTTCTTCTTCTTGTTCACCAGCTGTAAACTCCAGCTAAAAGTTCTGGGTGTTCGTCCACTTCTGGACTAAGTCCTGTTCCAGAACCTGAGTGTTATGTGCACAAGTCGGTCGACTTTTATGACCTGCTTTTGGTTAGGCAGTGGGACTGTTCTTGTTTTCCCCCACAACAGGTCCCCGGAACCCACATTGGGAACCTCTGCAAATGATAGTGTTATGTTGTGCTGTAGGAAGGCAGAAGAATCAGAGCCCGTGGTGATACCAATGACACTACAGAAGAAGTTTTTCCTCCTAACCTTTCCAGATGGTGGTGTTCCATTGCATTATTGGAGATCATTGGAATCATAGCCTATGGCAATATAAGTTTTGGGCAGGGGCATATAGGGCTAGACCTATATTTTTATAGACCAACGGCACAAGATGGGTGATGTGGTCAGCATGACGCCGGCCATCTCTACTTCCCGGGACTGCACTCGGTACCCACTCAAGGCTGGGTCGACCTGGGAGCCAAGGTCATTTTTTTAAAGAAAAGTCTGGCTCCGCCAGGGAGCGAACCTGAAGCACCAAGCCTGGGAGTTATTGTGGAGTTCATGTGTTGCCCATGCAGCATTATCCCTCCCTTGACCTGCTTTGTTGACTCCAAAGGTAACACCAGTATGTTTGGAAGCTGCTAGATCAGAAGAGCAGCGCTCTATCTGTGCACCTGTCAGACCTTCCCTTCTAGACCAGCTGCCAAGCAAAGCTAAGGGCCTGATCTACCCTGTCAGAACATTTAGTGTTCACATTGCATTTCTTCGTTATAGAGGCTAGTATCCTCCCCAGTAAACTCCTTTGTCCAAAACTAAATGCTTTAACATGTGCGCATAGAGTAAAGGACCCTTATAACATAATTGCTGCTTCATGCATGTGGTTCTAGACCAGTATTTGGTGTGTGGTCATTATTGTATCAGCTGTCATAACTTCCTGGGACATTTTTATAGACACTCACTTGGTGTGTGGTCATTATTGTATCAGCTGTCTTAGCTTCCTGGGACATTTTTATAGACACTCACTTGGTGTGTGGTCATTATTGTATCAGCTGTCTTAGCTTCCTGGGACATTTTTATAGACACTCACTTGGTGTGTGGTCAACATCGTGTCAGCTGTCTTAACTTCCTGGGATATTTTTATAGACACTCACTTGGTGTGTGGTCATTATTGTATCAGCTGTCTTAACTTCCTGGGACATTTTTATAGACACTCACTTGGTGTGTGGTCATTATTGTATCAGCTGTCTTAACTTCCTGGGACATTTTTATAGACACTCACTTGGTGTGTGGTCATTATTGTATCAGCTGTCTTAACTTCCTGGGACATTTTTATAGACACTGACTTGGTGTGTGGGCATTATTGTATCAGCTGTCTTAACTTCCTGGGACATTTTTATAGACACTCACTTGGTGTGTGGGCATTATTGTATCAGCTGTCTTAACTTCCTGGGACATTTTTATAGACACTCACTTGGTGTGTGGTCATTATTGTATCAGCTGTCTTAACTTCCTGGGACATTTTTATAGACACTCACTTGGTATGTGGGCATTATTGTATCAGCTGTCTTAACTTCCTGGGACATTTTTTGGTACTGATTTTAGATTGTGTCAATCTGGGTAATGGAATAGAACGGATTGGTAGAATAAACTTACCTATCTCTGTTATTGTATCGTCTCTTCAATATTGGAATTGAACCTTTGTCAAACTGTTTTTGATCCATAGTTGAGTAAACTCTTTTCTGCACATATCGGAGTCACATCTTTACAAACCTTTTTATTTTATTTTTTACAGGGACTGGAATTAAAACTCTTATCAAATCCTTTAATCCTTCGACCTTTGTCAAAGCCTTTCCATAGTATATTGGTATTAAACCTTTGTCAGGTCATGTCCATACCATACTGATGTCAGACCCTTTCTGCACCCTACTGGCATTAAATCTTTTTCAGCCTCTTTATGCCAGTTTTACTTTTGCTGAACTCTTTTGTACCTGTACACCATGGTCTGACTGATTTCCCCCTTTAGTAAGTTGTCTGAAGAAGATTTGATACCCCTGCTACCCAAAGAGCTGCACCCTGGATGCTGCTCCAATGGGGCTATTTCTTGATAACCCTGTGTTGCGCGCTGATTTGGGTAAAGTGTGATAGTGTGGGAAAGGGACAGTGGTGTGCCAGTACTTTCTGTAAGTTCACGGGGGGAATAGTGTCAACATGGTCCGAGTATTGAGGGGAGACCAGTGAGAATATCTGTTCATGAACAAGGCGTGCACGCACGAGAGAAACTGGACGCGTGTGTTACTGTGTGGGGGGCTGAAAGCATGGCAAACGAGATAAACAGAGAAAGTGTGAATTAAGTGACAGCATGATTCTCAGGTAACATCAGCCACCCGCATAAGTGAGATCCTCGAGAACGCCCATATGAGCGTGAGTCTCGAGAAAACCCACAGGATCATGATTCACGAGAACGCCCATACGAGCGTGCCTCTCATGTAGACATCATCCACCTACACGGATTTGAGGGGGATAAATTGGAGGGCTGAGTAGTCCCAGGAGGCAATCGAGAAGCAGTCGAGAGAGAAGCGAGAAGAGAGAGAGAGAGAGAGAAAGCGAGAGTCAGAGACCAAGTCAGGGTCCGTGATATCTCTCGCGAGTCTAACAGACAAGAATACCGTACGACTATCAGGCATTGAGGTCTGAGTGAGTGTCGAGGTTGCGGTACTGAACGTAGATATGGTCCCGCTGGCAAAGTAAGTCCAGGGGACGGAAGGCTCCAGTAGTACCTGTTCTGGGTGGCGACGTAGTGAAACGCAGGAGGACCACTACTGAAACAGGACAGGGGGGAGTGGTACCGACGAGAGCTGTGTGCTAGAGGGGACTTATGGTAGAAGTCCTGTCTGTCATCGGAGCCCTACGACAAGCTGACGACAGCTGTGTGTTTTCGGAGTACGGCAAGGGAAGTCCGTTTCCAGTCAGCCGTGTTGTATGCTGAAATAATATCAAGGTCCAGTGAATGTGAGAATTCGTCCTGTTCAGCTGTACGGTGCGTCCAGAATGTGAGACGCTGTAGTCCTTGGAGCTGTAGAAGTCAAGGAGAGGTAGCTACAAATTGAGAGAGCAAGCGAGTGAGGACAAATGGACGATGTGCAAATGTCAACTGTGATCAATAACTACATCTATGCATTTGTGTCCCTTATCCTGTTAAATAAAATGTATGACGGTGTCATCGTCGTCAAGTTATATTTCTAAGAGAGGAAGCTGAAGGGTACACCACACCCTGTTCAACCTCCAAGAATGGTTTAATTAGGGTACCTGTAATGGCTACCTGTTGAAGAAATAGAGAAATGCTTGTATCAAAAAAGAAGGTAATATACTGGGTGCATCATGAGGAAAACCAGAGACTCACTAGATGTGGACTGAAGTGGAAAAACAAATGGATTAACGAGGAAATGCAGATGCCTACAAGGAACGTTTAAATGAACATTTTTTGGGGGAGAGAGGCCAACAGTGATGGACTGGATTCCATCCGTAATACTGAAAGGATTGCACAAGATAGAACAGAACAGAAGACCAAAATAAGGGCCCTGTGTGACGTATAAAGGCACAGCAGAATGATGAGTTGAGTCAAGAATTGACATCACAGCACATCACATTCCCATGCATGGTCCATCCTCATCTTCAGCAGCCAGCGCAGAATCCCAGTACTAAAGGTACTGGTCACAATCTGGTTATATGTCAGTCTAGCAGAATAAATAATGAATCATGACTGTTGTATGGAGTGAAAAATGGAGAACAACTAAGGCAATTACTAATAAACTACAAATATTAATTGGCCCCATGTGCAGAATAGAGTAAATTAAATGGTATGATAGAATCACTAATGTAGAGCTTTGGGAGAGAACTAAACAAGTTCCATTAGACTGAGAGGTAAAGACAAGATGCTGGCGTTGGATGGGACACATGTTGAGAAAACCTGAGAACAATATAACTAGAATGTTTTTGCACTGGAACCTACAGGGGAATAGAAATAAAGAAAGACCCCCCCCCCCCCCCCCCCCCCCCCAAAAAAAAAAAAAACCATACACACGGAATTGGGAGCTAGAGAGCAGAGTTAAGAAGATGGGGAGGACATGGGAACAGCTGCATGTGATTGTGAAGGATATAACGACTTGGCGTGAGCTGTTTGAGGGCCTTACTCCATTGGGAGGTTGGAAAGATAGAAGACGAAGAAGAAGAATGATGAATGGCTCTCAGTAAGGAATGGCCTGTAACCTGCTGTCATGTGCAGTTAAGAGTTGAATGCATAAATATGGATGGTTAATTGTGTGTGTTTAAATACATAAATCAATTAAATATTTAAAAATTACAATTCATTTTCTGTGTTATAACCAGGCCATTGCAGATCATTTTTTTGACGGCTCAGCACTGGCATCTAGTGTGGACAGTTGGGCATCTGCATTTCCACAATCTCCAGTCCTCTCACATTCCATCAATGGATCAGATTATTCAGAGGCATCACCGGCTCCATCACAAAGGGACAGTACTCCTTTAGAAAGTACTCCACAACTGCATGGTACTTCTGATCAACAAGGTATATGGAGAATCTAGTGAAAGACTACCAAAGGAGATATTGTTGTTAGTTGAGACTTTGTAGTTTAAAATAGTTGTTGCTGTTACTGAGAAGTTTTTTGATGAAATAGATTTGTGTTTGTCAGTTAAAGTTAGAAAGTCTATTTAGGCATGATAATCACAAAATTCTCTCATGGTATTTTCTACACTCTCCAAGGTAAGAAATTATGGTCTCCTTCACAGTACTAGAGAACAGTAATGGGGGTATTTCCCTAGAATCTTAGGTGACCGTACTGAGGGTGTTCACAACCTTAGGTGAAAGTACTTGGGTATTCTCCACAATTCTAAAGGATAGTACTGAGGGTATTCTTCACAAGGTGTTTTCAACAATCCTAGAGGACAGTACTAGGGGTAGTCTTCATAACCCTATGAGACAGTACTTAGATAATTTCCACAATCCTAGGAGATAATACTTAATAATTTTTCAGTCTGAGGGTACAGTACTTAGGCATTTTCCACAGTCCTAGGAGACAGTACCTAGATATTTTCTATAATCCAGTGGGACAGTATGAGGTATTCTCTACAGTTCTTGAGGAAAACACTTGGAGTATTCTCTACAGTCCTAGGAAACAGCTCTTGGGGTATTCTCTACAATACCACAGTAAAGAACTTGAAGATTTCTCTGCCATCCTAGGACAGCACTCAGGGTACTGTTATCAAAGGCCAGATGACTCTGCCATTGTTAGGGCAGGGGGGGGAAGTATTCTTTATCGACCTGGAGAATATGGCTCTCTGGTTGCTCTTCACTGTTTGTGTTGGTTGCCCACTGCCTCCACTTCTAATGAACTGTGCCTTCCATTTCTTTCTTTATTGTGCTTCTTTTGTTCACCTGTAAAATGGTAATTATGTTGTGGCTTACCCCTAATCCTTTTGGCCCAACATATTTGATTTCAGCAAATGCTTAATTAGTTGCCTTTTTCAAACTACTTATTGCCCGTCTCTCTGGCGTAATTGGCTAAACCGGATTGCGCGGTGAGCGGGTGATGAACTCCTTGTGGTCCGGGTTCACTCCCGGGGGTGGGCAGAAAAGCCACATTTTCTCCCAGATTTACGGTATTTAAAATGGAATCAAAAGCCGAAAAGGTTGCGATATCCATAATACCGAGCCTAAGGGTTAACAACTCATGGCTTCTGGATACTAAAACAAAACAATCTACTTATTAATGATCGGTGGGTATGACACCCCCCCACCCCCAATCCTCCACAAAATAGGACCCTTGAACCTATGTATTTCCATTTCTGCAACAAGAAACCATAAGCCAGGTTTCTCTGTATTCATATCTTCTCAGATGTCAATATTTTTGGATTACCTTTTAATTTTTTTACATGTTCACTCACCAGTTAACTTCAGTTTTATTTTTTAAGTTAAAAATAAAGATGTTACAATCAACAAGGTCTTCTTTACAATTAATTTTTGTTTATTTTTTAACCTTTCGTTATTACTCTAAATTTTATTTTAAAAGACTGTCAGCCAACAGATATCTGTTTACAATGAATGTTTTGTTTATATTTTCACATTTTGCTTATTTATTACAGTTTTTATTTTACATTTTACAAAGAATATTATTATTAAAGATGTCTTTTTATGATTTAAACACCCCCCCCCCCCCCCCCCAATTGAAAGTTATTCTATTACTCTTGCTATTTTAACTATAGTTATATTAGTTTTGTTATTTTAATTCTGGTTACTGCATCACTATTGTTATTTTATTTCTAGTTGTTGTATTACTGTTGTCATTTTATTTATAATTGTATCACTACCATTGTTTAAATTCTAGTCATATTGGCATTGTTATTTTAATACTGTTTGTTGTATCACTATTGTTATTTTATTTCTAGTTGTATTAGCTTTAAATACTTTGGTTTGTTGACTTCTTTTATTCTGTTCCAGCAAGTAGTGATGATGAATATACTTCAGACGCAGAGTTCCAAGAGGATCCACTCCTTAAGATACTGAGGCATCAGAGAGACCATTATCTACATCAGTTAACGTAAGTCACATAAGCCCCAAACATTGTTAACTCCTTCTGTATCAGCAGACACTTTAGGCACACATTCTAGGCTGGGTCAATCTGGGAACCAAGGTCAGTTTTGATTAAAAAATCTGCCACAATGTGGACTCGAACCCAAGACCTTCAGGCTGGTAGGAGAATGTTTGGTAACTACATTATCATGGCTCCCTATTGCTCATGGTCATTTGATAAAAAAAAATTGCTTGGCCAAACACATCTGGCATCTGGTTAAAAACAGGATACCACAGACACAGGCTTTACTCAAGAAAATGACAGATATCATGTCCAGATAAAATGAGTAACAAAGATTTAGCATTAAGTAAACACTTGGGGTGCTGCGTGGTCTCAAGGCACGGTGTCCGCCTCAAGTGCTAGAGGCTCCGGGTTCAATCCCCGGTAAGGGCTGGGACTTTTTCACATGGACGGGCCTCTAGTCATTCCCCCTGGTCTCTGGGTAGTAAGATCGGATGCCTGTATGCACTGTTGCGCGCGTAAAAAATCCTTGGCAGTTGGAAATCGAAAAAGAGTAGCCTAACGGCGCTGAATTTTGAGTTAAAAATCTACCCAAAGTATTTCAGGATCCTCGCCAGTACTAGAGTCTGTGCACTGGCACTGTGCTGAGCTTCTTCGGGCTCAGACTTTTGAAGAACGGAGCACTTAAGGATTGCTACCCGTGTACCATGATGATGGTCTGTTGTTCAAACTTCATAATGTCTAGTATAAGAAAATAAAGATGAAACTAGTAACGGCATCTTTCCAATGGCTGGAGGTACAGCCCGACATGTCCTGCCCTCAGAATGGCTTGCATCACATTGTTAGGCTGTTTATCAGAAGCATATCATGAATTTATTGCCCAGCACAACTTTGCAGGGCTGCCAGATAAAAAAAACTTCATTTTGTGCCAAACCATTACCCAAAATATGCCAGATTTGTGGAATCTGGCATAAAAAATGCCAATATGACAACCTTGCAACTTTGTGTATGTGGAAATGAGCGGTGAGCTACATGATGATAAAGCAGACAAGGTGAAGACTCTGGGATAATGTGTTCTGTGCAGCAGGAGAGAGAGAGAGCATGTTTATCGAGAGAGAATGATTCAGCTGAATGAATAGAGAGAGGTTCTGGGCAACTTTGTACCCTCAGGGGGAAAACAACTGATGAACTTTCAACCAACAGGCACCACCAGTATAGTGAACTCTTTTTTTGGCTACTGAGGAGGGGGATGGAGCATGTATGAGAAGATGCTTAGTGCATTGATGTTAGTTCTTGAATTATTTATTATGACTGTTCACAGGCTCATTGAGAAGAAACTGCAAGATATGGAGATCTGAGTCTTACTACAGAGTTCTAAGTGCCAACTCCACGGTGAAGGTTGGCTGAAAAGGACTAGATATTTTCTGGCTCTGACAGACTGTGTTGTCCATTTATCTCATGATGATATTTTCCCACTTTGTATAGTTGCCTCCCTTTAACTGTTCCCCCAGAATGATTTTCTTGAATTATTTGTAGGCACGTTTATATTCTTCTTCCTCCTCATTCATCCCAGACTTTCACATCATCATCAAGTGCCTTGCTGACTTTTATGGGTTCTCCAAATGTTTTTTTTTTTTTTCAAACCTGCCTTTAAAAAAAAGTTACACCTAAATAAATACCTTCAAGATGATGAACAAATGTTTTAAGTCTGTGCATTTCTAAGCAAATAATGCCCCAACATAACTGTCTTGTATGATACAATTCCCCATTTGTGTTCGGGGGGGGGGGGGGGGGGGGGGGGGGGGGGGGGAGATTTGGGGAGAGATAAAGTACAGACTCAGTGACTCCCAAAAAGTATGACTAATTAGGGTGTTTCCTTTGGAGCCGCAGTGCATCTGCCTGAGCCAAGGAACCAAGAGTCTGCATATAAATAAGCCATATCTGTAAAATTATTGTGCATGAAAAACTGAAAAAGTTCTGGAACAAGACCAGAGTCCAGAAGTGGATGAGCAGCCAGAACTTTGTGCCAGAGTTTACAGCTGCTGAACACTGAGTAGACAAACAACCACAACACTGCGCCGAAGTTTACAGCTGGTGAACACTAAGTGGACAAACAACCAGAACTTTGAGCCTGAGTTTACAGCCAGTGAACACTAAGTGGACAAACAACCAGAACTTTGAGCCTGAGTTTACAGCCAGTGGGACAAACACCCCAAATTGAGCCCGGGGTTTACAGCTGCCGAAAAACTAGTGGACAAACAACCGAACTTTGAGCCGGAGTTTAAAAAGCCCGTGAACACTAATGACAAAAACCAGAACTTTTTAGCCGGAGTTTACAGCCATAACCTAAGGGGCAAACAAACTAGAACTTTGAGCCGGGGGTTTCAGCCAGTGAAACCCAAGTGGACAAAAAACCAAACTTTGCGCCAGAGTTTACAGCCGGGAACCTAATGGACAAAAACTAAACTTTTTAGCCGAGTTTTTAGCCAGGAAAATAAGTGGGCAAAAAACCCAAAATTGACGCCAGATTTACAGTCGGGGAGTACCCCGGATACTAAAGTAAACTTTTTAGAAATATTTTTTTGGGGCCAACACTATGCTTCAAAGCCCGACGCGGACCTTAACCCCCAAGAAAATAAAAATGTGACAAAAAGAGATGAAAGCCTTTGAAGCTGCAGGAGTTTCAAGGAAAAACCAAATA